GTACAGGTACTTCTAATAATATGACTACTAATTGTGTCTATCTGTGTCCATGGTGCCTATTGTCCTGGAGCACCTTTATCGTACATAAAAGGAGTGCTTGTGTGTTGTTGGGCTCGATTGTCAAGACAACTGATGGGTGGTTTAGTTGTGCTGACTAAGCCCTTCCACAGTCTTGTGCCTTCTGACTAAGTGTAGATAGGGGTAAAAAGTGAAAGAGAAGGGAAAAATCATAACATTACCCCCTCCTTAAGACCATCATCCTGATGGCTTAATTTAGAGATAGTTCATATTCATGTATGGTGTCGTCTGCCGCCATTTGTCTTTCATTGATCCATTGGTTGGATTCAGGGCTGTATCCCTTTCAGCTGACCAGATAGTCTATCATCGTTGTCATTCCGCCACCACATGCTTTTATTTTCCAGAGCTTGTGATTTAAAACTTGATCGATTTCGTAGTGTTCTTCATTATCGATTAAGTCAGGCAGCAGGGGTGAGGGGCATTCCTGGTTGGGAAATACTGAGGCAATATATGGGGATAAAAGTACTTCATTGAACACATCATGGATCTTCCATCCTGTCAGCAGCCATAGCTTGTAGGTGCTTGGCCCAATTTTCACAATGATTGGAAAAGGGCCTGTCCGTTTGTCGGCGAGTTTTCACTTAGGACGTGGCAGGTGCAGGTTGGTTGTGTCCAACCAGACTTTGTCATTGATATCATATGTGTGAGAAGGTTGTTGGTGTTTGTCATACTGTTTTTTCATCGAGGTGGCGGCTTTTTCAAGAGCGTTTTTGGTTTCAGTGTGAATTTTTGCCATGGTGGTGGCAAAATCTTTGGAGGCGGGCATTGTTGGTCTGTGATGTGTGGTCTGAGAGACATAGGGGTGTCGTCCATGATTGATGAAGAATGGTGTCTGTCCTGTCACCAAATGTACCTGGTTATTGTGTTGGAAGGCGGCTAGAGCCAGCCATTCGATCCAGTCATCTTGTCGATAATTGATAAATAGTTGGAGGTATTTTTCAACCTCCTGGTTGACATGTTCTGTTTGCCCATCAGTTTGTGGGTGATAGGCTGTCAATGCATTTCGCTTGATATTGAGCAGTTTGTACAAGTCGTCAAGGAATTTGAAGATGAATTGGGGCCCCCGGTCAGAGATAACTACTTGGGGCATCCATCCTGTGTTTGGCGTATACTTCGTCACATAAGATTTTGGCCCAGTCTTCCGAGGTCAGTTCCATGGAACATGCAATTGGAATGATGGCTGTTGAAAATCGATTGACTATGATGAGGATCACATCAAAACCGTTACAATCAGATAACCCAGTGATCATATCAACCGAGATGTGGGTCCATGGGGCTGATGGTACCTCATTTGGATGCAAGGGGGCTGTGCATGCTTGGGTGGAGCTTTTGCCTTATTGGCATGTTTCACAGGCCTTGACATATGTCATGATATTATTTCCCAATTTGGGCCACCAATAATGTTGCAGAACGAGCTCTTTGGTTTTGGCAATGCTGGGGTGTCCTGCAGTGGTGTGGTCATAACACATGGCAATGATTTCTCTATGTAGGGAATGGTCTTGTGGGATGTAGATCCGTCTGTCATAGTGAATCAGTCCTTCCTCCTTCATCATTCCCCATTCATGGTTGAGTGATGGGGCAACCCTTTAGTCCCATTTGTGAATGTCTTGAGTCGCACTTTTGATTCGCTCATAAATTTTCTCCTCCATGGGCATAATCATCGCCCAAAAATGTTCGGGTTGTAGTATAGTGACCCCTTCATTATCTCCTCCTCCTTGGTCATGGTCTGCCCATCAGGATAGGAGATCGGCCTTTTTGTTTGCTACCCTGGCCTTATGGTGAAGGGTATACTGGTATTGGGTTAACTCAGTGACCCATCATGCTTGTCGTCGATTTAATTTTTGAGGTTGACGGAAGTATCTGAGATTCTGATGGTCTGTCCAGATCTCAAAAACCTCAGGGGTGCCAATTAGATAATGCCGCCATTCTTCCAGTGCAAGCATTATCACCAATAGTTCCTTATCATAGATTTTATAGTTCCTTTCTGTCGTGGTTAGCACCTTGGAAAGAAATGTGACTGGGCACCATTTCCTGTCCTGTTCTTGTGACAGTATGGTGCCTATGGCTCCGTCACTCGAGTTGGCCTCTACATGGAACTTCTCGTTTTGGGATGGTATAGCGAGGACTACATCCTCAGCCAACTGCCTTTTTAGATCTTCAAAGGTGAGTTGTTGTGAGTTTCCCCATCCCCAGGGGGCATTGCCGGTGAGTTGAGTCATTGGGTGGACGATTTTGCTATAGTCTCGAATGAACCATCGGTAGAAATTCATAAACCTGAGGAAGGATTGTAATTCCTTCTTCTTGATTGGTGTCGGCCATTCCACCACCCCTGCTACTTTGACCAGATCCATCCTAATATTTCCTTCACTAATGATCACCCCAAGATATTCCATTTCCAATACTTCGAACTCGCATTTTTCCACTTTGAGGAACAACTTGTGTTTCCTCATGAGGGCGAGTACTTGTCAAACCAAACTGCGGTGTTCTTCCTTTATCTTGGACATGATGAGGATGTCATCCAGATAAATAGTAACCTTCCCAGTGGAGATGAGATCCTTGAATATATCGTTCATCATCCATTGAAAGGTGGCAGGGGAGTTTGTTAATCCAAAGAACATGACGGTCAGCTCAAATAGTCCTCAGTTGGTTCTGAAGGCCGCCTTCCATTCATCCCCTTCCTTGATTCAGACATTATTATATCCCCAATGGACGTCAAGCTTGGTGTAGTACTTTGCTTCTCAGAGCTTGTCTATGAGTTTCAAAATCAAGGGCAGGGGGTATTGGTTCTTGATCGTCATCTCATTTAATTTGTGGTAATCCTGAACAGGTCGGAGTTTACTGTTCTTCTTCTTTACGAAGAAGAATAGTGATGCTATCAGGGATTTCGATGGTCGGATGCACCCACTGGACAGGTTTTCTTTAAGAAACCTGTCGAGCTCTTGTTGTTCTGTAATGCCGAGGAGATAGGTTTTACAGTCTAGGTTGGCATTAGAATTTGGGATCAATTTGATGGTGTGATCCCAAGGTTTCAGAGGGGGGAGTTCATCGAAGCTCTCTTTTTTGAAGAGATCTTTGTAGTCCCATGCCCACTCCGGTACCATTTCCTCGAACATCCTTTCCTCCCTCCTCTCACTGGCCTTTGCCGCTAGATTATTGGCATGGTGCACAGCGCAGATGTGAATCTCCTTCTGCAGGTTGACGGCCAAGATGGTTTCACTGTCTTCCATTTCTTCATCCCACCTGTCCTCTGGGTCTTTGTCAGGTAATTCAAATGGGATTTTTCGGCATCGGCACCATGCAAAGGTAAGTCAGCCAGTTTTCCAGTTGATAAGTGGGTTGTGGCAAATAAGCCAGTCGTGTCCCAGGAACAATTCTTTGGTCCCAAGATCCGTAATGGCCAGATTGATCTGCTCGGAGTGATCCCCAATAGTTAAACGGAGTTCGATGAACTCCATGATGGAATCTGCCTGGTTCTTGGTTCCATCAGCATTGTACACAGGTATTGGGGCAGCAGTGGATTGGGTAGGAAGTTGGTTCTTTTGGATGAAAGCTCGATTAATCGAGCTACCAGTACACCCACTGTCAATCAGGGCAGTCACTGAGTGTAACGATCGGTTGATCAAGGTTTTGATCTGAGCCTTTGTTGTTAGGTCCCTTCTGGGTGTTTTGGTGCATCTGATGAATTTGCGGGGCCCCCTTAGTTCATTGAGCCATTCAAGGGCTCTGCTTCGATCAGCGTTCTTCAGTTTCCCCACGGTTTCGGTTGTGGTCTCTGCTCCCCTTGTTCAATATACCCATCCTTCTAGCGCAGCTTTCACTGCTTGGTCATCCTTTGCTTCTTTGATGGCCCTCCAGGTCCACTCTGTTTCAAAGGGTTTGAGCCATTTCAAAGGGCCCGCTGCCCCTGTTCTGTTACGATTTTTCCTATTTTTCTTCTATTTTCTTTTCTTTTTCCTCAGAAATGACCCCTATCTTGCTTAGTCAGGGTGCTTAG